AGTTTCCCCTTTTTCTCATTAATCCCAAATTATGCTCATGTTAACTTCATCTTTGAAACTTGGCAAAATACTGACCTTTCAACCCTGATTTTCTTTGATTTTCTGTTTCTCTATCCCCTCTTTGGCCCTCCAAACAAATGTTTTTTCCTCTACTTCCTGTTAAATTGTACTGAAATGAGTTCATTTGCAGCTTTCATTTGGATCATGCTGCTTCCCTTCCATACTTTTTGGAGAAGGTTTGCTCCCTAGATAATGACTTTACTAGATTGTACAAGTTTCTTCATACATGGGCTCACTACTTTCTTTATCTTTCAGACTACATTCAAAGGGAGAGTTTTTATGACTCATGCGACAAAAGCCATCTACAAGTTACTTTTGTCAGATTATGTCAAAGTGAGCAAGGTCTCGGTTGAAGATATGTTGTTTACCGAGCAGGACATTAACAACTCCATGGAAAGAATTGAGGTGTGTACATCATCCTTATGCTGTTTGGGTTGCTTGTGTGGCCTTTTTCCGAGGCTCGTAAATTTGAATTTGAAATTGTATGCAGATTTTGCTTTCCTGTTTTGAGGGAAAGGCAAAATTAGCATGAAGAACAATCTATTATTTGTGCAGGAACAGTCTTTTTTTCTGCATGCATCTTTTGCTTTTTTGCATTCAAACTGTCTATACATGGAACAGCAATTGAGAGAAGCAATTACAGGTACATAATAGTATTAATGAAAGCACAAAAGGATGAATAGGAGCAATATGAACAGCCTAGAGGTTTTTTTTTTTGGGGGGGGGGAAGGTTTGCTGATATTAATAGTAGGCAACTCTTTCTTAACTAAGAATGTAATGAGCAGATATGGATAGTAGTATTTGTTTGATGTGGTCCGAGGTTAGAGAGCCTTCTGCCCTTACTTTTTCTTGTGGGGAAAAAAGGGAATTACATATAGTTTTCGATTGTTTCAAACTTTTGAATAAAATGAAGGGATAAGAGAATAAAATGCACATATATTTGCTTTACTATCTATTTGTTGTCTTTCTTGTTTTTCATTATTCTAAGATTTGATATTAGACAAAAGGCAAAGCATTTGTGCAGTCTTTTATCCATTGAATGGCGAATAAGAGCTAATGAGTTTATAGTTTGTTTTAGACCCATGCTGGTGGGAATTTGAAATGACTGTGACCAATTCACAGCTTGTCCAACTTAATCCATATAGAGGGTTGTATATACTTATTTCATTCATTCTGCAGGTTATTGACTTCCATCAGACTCTGGAAGTTAATGGCATCCGCTTCTGGTGTTACACTGCAGGCCATGTCCTTGGTGCTGCTATGTTTATGGTCGATATTGCTGGCGTTCGTGTTCTTTACACTGGAGATTATTCACGAGAAGAAGATCGACATCTTCGTGCTGCGGAGCTTCCCCAGTTCTCGCCAGATATATGCATTATCGAGTCAACATATGGAGTTCAACTTCATCAGCCACGACATATTCGAGAGAAACGGTTTACTGATGCCATTCACTCCACTGTTTCTCAAGGTGGTCGAGTCCTGATCCCAGCTTTTGCTCTTGGTCGTGCCCAGGAGCTTTTACTAATTTTGGAGGAGTATTGGTCAAACCATCGTGAGCTGGAGAATGTCCCAATATATTATGCCTCTCCTTTGGCAAAAAGGTGTATGGCAGTCTACCAGACGTACATAAATTCCATGAATGAGAGGATTAGGAGTCAGTATGCAAATTCGAATCCCTTTGAATTTAAACACATTTCACCATTGAAAAGCATTGAAAATTTTAATGATGTCGGTCCATCAGTAGTGATGGCAAGCCCGGGTGGCCTTCAAAGTGGGTTATCACGACAGCTTTTTGATAGATGGTGCTCTGACAAGAGAAACGCTTGTGTTATACCTGGTTATGTTGTTGAAGGAACACCGGCGAAGACCATCATCAATGAACCCAAAGAAGTCACCCTCACAAATGGCTTGACTGCCCCACTAAATATGCAAGTCCATTACATTTCCTTCTCAGCTCATGCTGACTATGCTCAGACGAGTACGTTTTTGAAAGAGTTAATGCCTCCTAACATAATTTTGGTTCATGGTGAAGCTAACGAGATGGGAAGGCTGAAACAGAAGCTTGTGTCTCTCTTTGCTGACAGAAATACCAAAATCATAACCCCTAAGAACTGCCAGTCTGTTGAAATGTATTTCACCTCTGAGAAAATGGCAAAAACTATTGGAAAGTTGGCTGAAAAGGTCCCCGAAGTTGGTGAAACAGTGAGTGGTTTGCTTGTTAAGAAAGGCTTCACATACCAGATTATGGCACCTGATGATCTGCGTGTTTTCTCCCAGCTTTCCACAGCTAATGTCACACAAAGGATCACAATCCCGTATTCCGGAGCATTTGCTGTTATAAAGCATAGGCTTAAGCAGATATATGAGAGTGTGGAATCCTCGACAGATGAGGAATCAGGAGTTCCAACTCTGCGAGTTCATGGTCAGGTGACGGTGAAGCAGGAGTCAGAGAATCATATCTCACTGCACTGGACAGCTGATCCGATTAGCGATATGGTGTCAGACTCAATTGTAGCTCTGGTTTTGAATGCCAACAGGGAAATGTCTAAGGTGGTAGTAGAATCAGAACCTGTGGTAAGTGAGGAAGAAGATGCAAGGAAAGCTGAAAAAATAGTACATGCACTCCTTGTTTCTCTTTTTGGAGATGTGAAATTTGGGGAGAATGGGAAACTGGTGATAAGTGTTGACGGCAACATCGCTCACCTTGATAAACAAAGTGGAGATGTGGAAAGTGAAAATGAAGGCCTCAAGGAACGTGTGAGGATGGCATTCCAGCGAATAAGAAGTGCTGTAAAGCCAATCCCTCTTTCAGCTTAAGCCATTTTTCTCTTCTTCGTTCTTTTAGTTCATCAGCTGGGTCCAGTCCAGACTGTGTGTTCTGCATTTTGGCTGGCCTAAAGAGTAGAAATGAACTGTTAATTTCGTTTTTGTGATTCTATAGCATGAGAATACTTGTATGCCCTGTAGGTTCAAACAAACGCTATTTTAAATCCCAATCTTTTGGGCTAATTACCTGGATAGCAGCATGGTTCCATTATTTTGAAGTCCTCTTGCCCCTTCCAGGTTTGCTCTTTGGTAATGTTCACCTTTTGCTTCCAAATTTCCTTTGGCTTGTTTGATTTTTTTGTTGTTGTTGTTGTTGTTGTTGTTGCAACGTGGATAAGCATGTCTGCGGCAAAACACACTTGATGGAGCAATTTGCACATTATTTGTTAAAGAATGGCAATATCATGTTTATTTTGTATTTTCAACCATCATCAAATTTGGTTTAGAGTCCTCCATCTTTAAGAGAGAGGGAAAAAGGGAAAGGATTTGAAAGTCAGAAGATCACTTAATTAATAATGTGCTTTTAGCATGAGCCTTGGGAACAATAACACAAACAGTTTTGTTAATTGGAGGGACAACTCAACCCGCTTATGCGCACCTAATGAGCAGCTGTTGTTGCCCTTATTGTTTAGAAAACTAAAATTGACATTTGTTTGTTTTAGCTCCAAATGAATTTTCTAATCTCTTTATGGAAAAAAGATATTCTAGCGCCTTTTGCTTTTTCAAGCAATCAACACGTATTTTTTCGGGTTAGAAGAAAACAGAAGTTGGAAGCTGGGCGGTACCTGTTGACTGACTCCTAGCTGCACCCATCTCACATAAGGAAATGGGGCAGGGATGGTATGATCGTCCCTGAGCGGTTAATGGCCACGATTTGACCTCAAAAATTTGTGCGGCTGAGATTACAAGTTGTTATTTAATTTCCACGTCATGTGTGGGTTTCACAAAAATTTATTCTAAAATTATGCGATGTACAATAAAAGTTACACGATGTACAAAGAAAGTTACGCGCAGTTGAAAATGGTCCGGAACGGTTGCACCTGCAACCGTCCGTGCCCCGAGTCCGTCACATAAGCCATTGACGGGTCTATATGGCACCTGTGTTGGCCCATTTGGTCTGTTAAAAGTTAAAACTAGGGACAAGCCTATTATTAGCTTGACATAACTTTTTGTTGTAAATTGGCTATTTAAGTTGTAAAGCCTATTTTTTTTTCCAAACGAATAAAAGATTGTAAAAGCCTATTAAGGAACTTTTTTTTTTTTTTTTTCATTCAGGGTATTTCAACCTTTCAACCAGGCTAATTTCTTAAAACTGTGTAGAACCTTGTCTCAAGGATAAACAAGGATGTAGCATATGAGAATCGATCACGGAACCTGCTGATAGCTGCTAAATTACAAAACCGGTTGGATTACTCGCAGGACTACCTATCAAGGACTTGGGAGAAAGTCTTCGTCTTGAAAAAATACAAGATAATTCACGAGGACAGAATCCAAAATAACAAACAAATTGGCAATTCCATTTTGCCTCTCAATGTAGCTAATCTATCAACACATTTGTTTATTTGCTTTCCAAAACACCACATGACAAAATTTAACTCGTCCCCGGTGTAAGAGGAGGAATCTACAATTCTCCCGAAATCGACATATATCTATACTACTAACATGTTTTATGAATATCACATTTTGGCAACTACTTTACCATGCTTTAATGAATGCTCATTATTATTGGTTTATATGATACGTTCCTCTTCCCATTTTTCTTGCTCATAGCAATTTTGGAGATTAATTTTACGTTGACCAAATCACAATAAACCTTGAACCATCACTCCTTCCCCCACCCCCCCCCCCCAAAAAGACAAAAAAAAAAAGAAAAAAGAAGAGAAATTGTAATAGGGGTACAAGTGTAATTTCACTTGACACATCACACCAAGCAACCCTCCCATCCCATGCTATTGCCCAAAACTCCCGAGTCATTTCTCTCCCTTTCTCTAACCCAACTGCAAACCTTCGTGCCACACAAAACAAAAACACCTCCTAAGTCCTAACTTCCACCCCCCACCCCAATCTTTCTTGTTGTCAGTGGATTAGGCCCTCCCCCACTCCAAGATGGCCAGCAGAAACAAACAAACAAACATTTGCATGACCTCATCGACTCAGGACCCTCTTTCTTCTGCACTTCACCCTGCCGAATAAAAAAGGAAAAAAAAAAGGAAACAATTGAGAGAAAGGAAAGGAAAAAACCAGTCTTTCTTTCTTTCTTGCCTTCTTTGCTCTCTCTTTTTCTTCCAACCTCTTCTCTTCGGTGGCTTCCCATGCTTCTTCTCTCCTTTTTCTTCATCTCCCTCTCTCAGAAAATGTGTTGCTTATCTTCCTTCTCTTTAACCCCATCCGCACCGTCCGCACCTTTCTTCTCTTCCTATGCCCCTATTAACTATATAATCTAAACCCTCCTCCAAATTTCCCCAAACCACTGCCTCTAAATCCTATTGCCCTTTCCTGAATTAAGATCTAGGTTTCTTAGCTCGATTTCATTTCATCATTCTCATCAGTGAGCAAATTTCACCTCTTTTATTTTTTTGGGTTTCCGGCTTTTTCATTGACTACATTTCTGTTCCATTGCATTTGCATAAAGGCGGAATAGGAAGCGTTTCTGTTTTTGCATGTTGATTACGGGTTTTCATTTGATTAAAGCTGGTCTACACTCTTTTTTCATTTCTTCTTTTTGGTTTTTCGCAGGTTCTTATCCACAATTGACTTTCTGAGGTTATTTCTTTGGCAGGTAAGTGTGAGCTGTGAAGTGGACATAAATTGACTTTTTAGGTTTTTTTGCTTGAGCTGTAAATTATGTGAATGTCTGTGTTCGTGTGTATTTGCCGTGGTTCAATTGGATGCATGTGGTTTTGATGTGTGGGAAGGCATATTTCAGAAAGCTGAAAATAATTGAGGGTCTGTTGTGGATATTTGATCAGTTGATCTAACCCTTCTTAAATGAAAGTCTATGGATATTGAGAAGCTTGTTTATTAATATTTTTCCATATACGGTATGGTTGACTTGGCTTTCTAGGGATTTTGATGTTTTTCTATGTCCATACTGGGAGGATTCTTTACCTCCCTATCGCGTCTAATTCTTTTGATTTTAGGGTTTTATTGCTGCAAAGCATGCATGGATAATGTAACTCCAAATCTGAAACAACTTATTGATGGAGGAGAGGAAAAGTATACTGTGTGCCCAAGCTACTAATTTATTTTTCAGATTTGGTCTGTGGCTTAAGTTCTGTTGGAGTTGAATAACCCTTTCCCTTATGGATGTCAGTTCTATTGTTTTCTTGTTGCAGATTTTAGCATGGTTCTTTCTGTTTTAGCTGTGCTTCATTGAGTAGCCTTTTAAGGTGGTTATGGATATCGATTTGGTCCATGCCTCAGTGTATTTTTTCGTGGGAGCTGGTTTTTGTCGTTTGCCCTAAATGATTTCAAGCTGTTTGTTTGTACTTGCCATAGTGATTACCTTGTGATCCCCTATTTATTGTTACCCTAAAATACATCAGCTCCCATTGACTATCCTTGCCTGAAATTACCTGCATTACCATCAATTGCAAAAATTAGCCTCAGCACCCCAAAAATATCTGCCTCAACGAAATAACTCTAGGCTGTAGTTTCTATTGAGAGAGGAATGAAATTAGGTTTGCATCCAGCATCTGTCTGTTGAATTTAAGGAAGTTCTTACCCCTCAGCTGATGCTTCCTTTTTTTATTTTTATTTTTTTTGGTGTTATATTACAAACAGATACTGTGTATCCAAGATTTTTTTTTCCCATTCTATACTGTAGTTCAAAGAGGTACCTGATGCAATTAATAGCCTAAAAAAACTGATCTAAGAGAATGTTATAGACTTGAGGTCGACTGCAAATTTGCTTTCCTGTTGAAGTCACCACTTAGTGGACCAGTCATCAATTTTTTTTCTCAAACTGAACTATTCCACTTGAGGTGCTAAATGTTGGTGATTGATTTTGTATTTTAGGTTGTTGAAATGAAGAGGGCAGCATACTATAATACTGTTTCTGTCCCACAAGTTCAGGAACAATGGCCTATCAAAAAAGCCCTTACATTGTCTGATGTGGATATTACTCATCCATTCCTAACTCTGTCCAGGCAGCAAGTTGATAATCACATTATTGTGCACATGACACAGCAGCAACAGGATCATTTGAGAGCTGTAGGCCAGGTGGATTTCAATGCAAGAGATGATGACACTGGTGAAATGTATGTGATGAAGTTGAAGTGGCGTGGGAGTTATTATAATCTGATTGGCAAATGGGGAAAAGTTGTTCGAGGAAAGGGACTTGATGTTGGTCAAGAAATTTATATAAGGTGGGCTAATGGCTGCTTGTACTTTTCGGTCCCTCAACAGCAGATTGTCGCTGTACCACCTATTCGGATGGTCGCAGCACCACCAGTGCAGGACCAATGGCCTATTAAAAAGGTGTTAACGCTGTCTGATGTGGACACCAATCATCCTTTTCTCCCTTTGCCTCGCCGATTGGTTGAAGATCATATTCTTTATTACTGGTCACAGGAACAACGAGAAGTATTGAGAAGGGAAGAGCAGGTAAATGTGAACGCCAGAGATTATGATACTGGTGAAATTTATTTGATGAAATTGAAGTGGAGGGGTAATTACTACAACCTCATTGGCAAATGGGGAACAATAATTCGACAGAAGGGACTGGGTGTTGGGAAAGAGATCAATTTGCGATGGTTGAATGAATGCTTATACTTCTCAGTTCCTCAGCAGCGATATGTTGCAACGGCATCAGGCCAGGATAATTGGCCTATTAAGAAGGCGCTCACGTTGTCTGATGTGGATACTAATCATCCATTTCTTACTTTACCTGGCAAGGCTGTTGAAGATCATATTCTGTTCTACTGGCAGCCTCAGGCCCGTGAGCAGTTGAGGAATGAGCATCAGATAAGTGTTAATGCTCGGGATGAAGACACAGGTGATCTATATTTGATGAAGCTCAAATGGAGAGGAAGTTATTACAATCTGATTGGCAAATGGGGCAAAATTGTCAGAGGCAAGAGACTTCAGGTTGGAAGTGAAATCAGACTTCGTTGGGACAATAACTGCTTGCTTTTCTCAGTTCCTCAGTGATGCTGTTCAATGGTCAGATGTCTTAATAAAGTTAATTTTTGCTTGATTGTACTTGGTCTTTATGGTTTGTTGCTTTATATTCTTTTTTGTGTCTATTCTGTAGGCTGTTATTGGAATTTTCAGGATGGCCTAATAGAGATGGAGCATATATTCTAGATGAAAGGTTTTACAAAAAGCTATGTGGAAGCTGCTTCTATAACAAGGTGATGCAACATGGAGATGGTTTGCTGTTTAGAGTAATATCATGAGACTTATGTTCCTTTATGTTTTTCTTGGTACTATTAACATATCCGAGTGTAATGTACTTTGGTTGAATGCCAGCTTCATAAACCCTTGGATTTTTGCATGATGTGGGATATTTTAGGTTTTGCTTGCTTAAGATTAAAAGAATCTATTTATCTTTGTCACATCAAGTTTTCCTTGGTTTTCTTTTCATTCCCTCAATAAACCTTGTATTGCTTTCTGTCTGATTCCAGCGAGTCTGTGAAACAAAGTACTGGGAGGTGATTTAAGACTTCTATTTAGGTTCAAAGATATTGAAAGTATCTTTAAATCTTGAATATTTGTAAAAAGAAAACGATTTAAAAATTGAGCACGACTGTTATCTTTTTTGGGAGGTTTTCTGGTGATAGAAAGAAGTGAAAATGAAGCGTTACGTAGCATTTGCATGGAGACATCTTGAGAATTGACATACTCTCAAGCATTTCAGAGAGGTATTGAACATGGTTTTTTCTTGTCCTCTCTGCCATCCAATGGGAGGACAAACAACCACTTTCTTTTCTTGCTGAGACTGTAAGGCCGGCAAAATAATTATCTCCTTTCCCTATTGTTTTGCTTGTCACACATACATAGTCAAAGAGTTCTTTATGCGTTTAGTTAACAGTCCGACCTGTAGCCTCACATGTTGTACGATTTTGCAAGCATTGCCTTTAGCACATCCATGCAATATGTATTTGAGCTTTCATGAAGTTCTTTGGTCTTTCCTTAGATCCAATGCTTAAGCTTGGACTTCTTTAAGTTGCCTTATCCATCTTTAGAATGTACGTCTGAATACCTCATGCCTATGGGTACATCAGACTAAATATGGTGATCTTGAGCATTGTATGATAGTGGAAGCAATCATGTTTAATGTGAACATTGCCGATATCCATCTTATTACAAGTGTTTCGATGATGTTATTTATAGCTACCTACTTGCACCGGCCCTAGTTGCATGCTTCTCGAACATTGCTGACTAAGATATTCGTGGTCCACGATATAATCATGATAATATACCGAATGTTATTCCAAGTAATAATTGCACATAGAAAACCTAAAATATTCGAGGGATAATGTTTTAATTACACACAAATCTTCGAGTATAGAGAAAAGAGATTTTTTTTATATGTTTGGACTATGGAGACATGCTAATACGATATATTTGGACCACGTGTCCTTACTGATACAGATACCTAAATCTATGTATATGGCAGCTAAGAACCTAAGCGATAAACTTATACAACAAACAAATCATGCAAGTGGAATAAATAATGACAAATTACTGCAAGATTAAGTCAATTATGTCACTTTTCCTCTAAAGTTGAATTCTTGACAGCTAAGAAACTCAACTGGAAAGAGAAAACATTAAGAATCTAGAAATGAATATATTTATGGAACAAAATTTAAGCCTATGTCGATAGGAAAGAAAATAGGTGCCAGATGAGCTGATTTGTCACCATAGCGTCAACATCACCTCTTTTGCCCTCCATCTTGATATCTTTTTTTTTGAATTAAGTCCTTCCAGTACCATAAATGTCCATTTGATAGAATTTGATCTCTTGCCATTTTCCATGAAAATGTCCGATTTTCATTGGATATTTACTCTCAATATTCTTGCAAAGCTTCACTTTGAAGCAAGATAGTGGGCTATGTTGCTATTGTTAGTGTCGTCATTATTAGTTTGCGGAGTCTCCATTCAAACAAGTCTTTGTTGGACTACCTCCATCATTTTGGCTGCGTTATCAAATCTGATTATGAAGTAGTTCTTCTCGAGTCATGCATCCACTAATTAGTGAGCCATATAGTCCGTTTGTTTTTATATTGTCCTTCTGACTTGCAGTATGTTAAAGTCACCATTTGTGGTTTCACTTCAGTGATGGTATCAACTTAGGAAACTCAGAGGTGATAAGTGCAGATAATTATTCGGATTATGTGGAGACCAGGGAATTTACGGTATACCTAAAGAAAATATTTAGTAGTTCTAGTATTTTGAACAGCTCAAATCTAAAAGGCTGGACTCTGACTTGACAACATAACCCCTTAAGAAGACAAAACAAGAGATACTAGAAGCATTAAAGTTTGGCCCATAGAAATAATATTGTGATGTGTCGCTGATTTGATGATGTTTGTAGTCTTATAGTTGGCCTCTTGGCTATGGAGATGTTCATTGAATAATCACAATAAAAGAGAACACTTTGAAAAGTAAGAAAAGTAACAAAGTAAATGTCATTGAAGGAGGATTAGGACAACCACCTAAAATGGATACAATATAATCATAAAGGAAACTGAATAAATCCTCTCTAAGAAGGAAAAATATAAGAACCTAAAAAGGATTGGAGTGAATGATAATCTCCAAGAATGGAACAAAATATATCCTAGAAATATTGACTCATCAGTTGGCACGGACAACTTTTTTGTGGTTTCAGGAATTACATATGTATTATCCAAGTAGGGAACATCCTTAAGTTGCAAGAATAGAGGTTCTTTTCCAATATGCAAGCCTGCAATCTCTCGTGCCGAGACTGAAGAACTCTATTAATGGGCCTGGGGATGGCCCTTGCATGAAAGATATACATGGTTTGATTACTTCTGTCTCTAGTATCTCAGGAAGTTGATGTCATAAAAAGCTGAAATAAAGATGTTATAGAAGGTTACAATATAGGAAAAATTTCTAGGTAATAATATGTTATAGAGTCTCAAAGAGACGCTTTTTCTCACATCTGCAGTCACATGGGAAAGTGAAGGCTTTTTAAATTTCCTCTTATGTTCCAACCTCCTTTAAATTTGGCTTTCTGATTTGTCTTGGGTCTGCCAAGTCTGTGGTTGAGGAGTGCTGTAACTTGATGAGTTTCGAGGTTTTTTTTTTTTTTTTCTATTTTCTTCTGGGGGTGGGGGGAAGGAAACAGAAAGAACTATTCTTTGCTATATCACTGAGAATTGCTATGACTTGGTGTTTTATGAGTTTCTCATGTGTTGTCGACTGTAAGAAATATCCTTTGGTTCACAGAAGTTGAGGCTTGGTCAATTAGCTAAATTCAAAGGAAAATCTTTTTATTGGGATGTTCGTACCTGCCTTGAACCTGTTGTAGTGGCTGAGAAACAAGAAAATTTGTCTTCAGTTCTGGGCCATGAAATCTTTATAAATCAAGCATAGCTATCATGAAAAAGCAGGATGCTGCTTTGATGACTGTGCTGTAGTTGATTTTCTTTTCCTTCCACTAGGACTGACCTTAGGCTGTAAGAAATAAGAAAGTTAGACCCAGACCTAAGAAAATGATATAAAATTTTGACTTTATCAAATGTATATGTTCCTGATCTTTGTGACAAAACATTTGTAAAGTCACTTCATAGCTTATGTGACTGCCTGTGAAACACTGCATAGTTCTGGAAGGGGTGAAGAACTGAGGGGTAAAAGCATAGGGAGTTATACTGCAATTTTTTCCCAAACTGCTTCAATCATTTGGAGAGATAATCAGAGACTATTGATGCTGGAGATCCTTTTTGCATTATAAACCCTTTTGTCCTAGGTTTTAATCTTATTGAGATCATACTTGATGAGAGAAAAATTGTCTCATGAACGGAGCATCTTGGAGGGGGAAACATGTGTACGTGTTTGTGAAAGAGAGAGTGCTGGGATAGAATGCAGGGGATCCAAGGAAATTAAACTTTATAACTTTGTATCTGTAATCTCTTTCTCTCCCCACTCCCTCCCTCCCTCCATCCCTCTCTCTCTCTCTCTCATCATTCTCCTCAGCTTCGTCTTTTCTTAGTCTGCTTCACCTTATGTGTGCACCTTCCCTTTCTTCCTTTCTCTCCAAAAATGTCTAGAAGGAAGAAATTACTGAGTAGAAGGCTAGGGGTGAATGTGGTTCTAGGATTTATTTCATTAAAAGTGGACATGCTATTAGGTCTCAAGGCCTCAGATTCTAATATCATGCAGCTTGCATTGAATGACAAACCGATGTATGTTTGTTCCCTTGTCCTTTTTCAAAATTTTAAAGACTTGCGTGGCTCCTTATAGTTTTTTCTTTGTTGGTGGACAGAATATGATGAGATGTGTATTTCTTGTTCTCAATAATAACATCTTATTCTATTAATCTTGAGATCATATTGCAGGTGTTTATATCCAATAAAAATGATAATTCTGCTTCTACTTTGGAAGGAGTTTCTGTTGGCTGATAATGTTGCTTCAAAGAAGGCTCCAGCGGATGCTATACTTGTGGACTTTGGTGAACTTAATTGACGAAAGATCTTGGGTTTCATGCTGTAGCATAACCAAAAAATTTCTGTGCTATTCTTGCAATGACTTCCACTGGGTTCAAGCTTGCAGACCAGCTACTATGAACATGAGTGAGTGACATTTTCTTATAACATGTGCTGAAGCACTGGTGGCATGAATCTTTAGGAAGTTCAACCAATGGCACATAAGTTGTATGATCTGGCAAACTTAGTGGTACGCTCGAAGTCCAAGTGAAACGTGGTATTTCTGTCAAGTTTATTCAGTAAGGGATTCAATGCACTCCATGTGGCGAGAGTTTGGCTTCCATGCACAATATGTGCTTGAAGAACCTGGTTATTTGGATTCTATTTGCAATCGCAGTTGTTTCCAATTTGCTAATAGATTGCTTGCATGAAAAAAGTTGGATCTAAAGGCAGCAGCTCTAAGCATGGTGGCAAGATAATCATTTGTACTTTCAGGTAACAGCTCTTGATCTGCCTGCTTTTGGTAAGCAACACATTTGTACATCATGTTAAATGTGAGATCTCTCTTTCATGTCAGTATCTTAGATACGTCGCATTCCTAGGAGCGGAGGATTGTTTTGAAGGTCTGGATGGCTCTTCACTGATGCCTTGCTGTGCTGAAAGTTGTGGACTATTTGGAGCTGAGATGTTGTTACGCTTTTGGGCATATTTGTTGACTAGTTTATAATGGCTCTGGGAGTTTTCAGGCTCGGATTGTCCCATGTACTTTGCTGTTTTCATTCCTGTGCTATTTTAAGGATTCACAACTGGCTGCAAAAATCATCTATGGAAATCGTAAGCTTGTAGGTGGTTCACATCTTCTTCCCTTTGGCAGTCATTTTGATTGAAGAATTTGAGAGGGATGGTAGAGGAACACAGAAATGCAGTTTCTTCCTCGTGTACCGCGTTGGTGGTTCCAGGCTTGAATGGGTAGACGACTGATTGCGCTGCTTTGCGCAGGCAGGGTATGAAGTATGAATAGAAAGAATGGCAAATTTTGGTCTGTAAAGAGTTTTGTAGGTGTCAAGCAATCTCAGCGTCCTTGGCGAAGATCATATTTATGCTAACTTCTCCAAAAAAAAAAAAAAAAAAAAAAATCATTTTATACTGCCGAGAGATGATGTCAATGGAGCTCCTCCTTGTACGGTTGAAATGTCCGTCCATCCATCCATCTTCTTCTTATATATGCCATGCCGAAGATGAGATCACATCCATTCATTTGTTGAAATGAAATGACCTCACAAATTATTTGTTTTATTTGTATTTTTTAAATTTATTGCGTGTGTGAGTGTGTGTGTGTGTGTGTGTGTTTTTTTTTTAAAAAAAAAAAAACTTGAGAAACGCCGTCCATAAATAAAGCGGAGAGCACATCATATAGCACGCCGTCCACTTTTTTGTCGCTGGTCAAAACTAAAACGGGGTTAAATTAATGGTGGATTGCGGTTGACTCCTCTTTTTTTTTTTGGGAAGGATGAGTTTGACTTGCCTTGTGTCGTCAGCTTCTATTTCCGTCCTCAATGAGATGAATAAAGACTACCGTTGAAAGCTGCACATACGTAGGATCCAGCTAGGATTTACCAATAACTTAATTCATTTTTAAGTAGTTATTTTTCTTAACTTTATATTCAGTGGTTGGGATAGAACCGACGACGCCCCGCCCGCCCGCTAAAAAGTCTAATGATATTTTAAGTAGGCAGTGTTACCTCTAAATCCGCTCCCATTTTAAGGGATCCTGTAAAATCTAAAGCTCGGCTCGAATTGCCTCTTTTTCTTTTTAAAAAAAATTTTTGATAAAAAAATATACTGTAATGATTTAATAGATGTAAAATAAAGGAATGTTTGTTAAAAAATGTATTGATGAAGAGCGTAAAAAATTTTTGAAGAAAAATAGCAGTCCAAACAAGCTCTGTATGTATTATAGAGTTAGGTTAAATTATCGATGTATTTATATATTACTCGTTAATATCATCATTTATTAAAACAGGTGGATTCAATTAATAATTGCTTTTTATAGGTGGACTCAATTAATAATTTGACTTGAGCATTTTGGACTAGTGACTTAAGCTCAACAAATTATTGGGGAAAAACTCGAGATATTGTACAAATAGCCCCAGAAGTTATTTAATCAATCTAGGACCCTATTGCTTAAGCAAGCTTTATCAATTAAACCCATAATATTATTGTACGACAAGGGGATGAAAGTTGACATTAGCAGTATAATTTATGACACAGAGCTATAAAAGATCCTTGGCTCCTTGCCACGTCACGAACCATTTTTCTTTTTTTTTTTTTTTTTCTTACCTCTACCCGTTCATGTTACCCTTGGGGCGAAAATACAATTTGTTTGTATTATCAATATTTTATTCAACCACCTTTTTATCTCATATATATTACATAAAAAAAAAGTACTACAGTATTTTTTTCAAAATATTATTCTAAATAATCTACTATTCAAACACAACACACAATTGTAAATAATTCGTATTGTGACTTGAAGCTTGGTCCACTGCCATATATATATATATATATATACCAACAAATGAAAGCTTATACAATTATAGACACTAACAAAATTAGGGATAAAATATTGATTTAGACTTGAAATCTAAATATTGCACATATAACATGCAATCAAATTCAACAGTCTGTAGCTATCAATATACATAATTCACACTAAAATTCATAAAATGCACTTTTCAAAAAAAAAAATTCATAAAATACAGAATATGCGGGCGTTTAAATATAAAAAATTTGTTGTTATGCATTCAAATTTCTAAGAACAAATTTAGATTAATGTCAAAATTATATAACAATAAAAAAAAAAAAAGAAACGACAGAATAATGACAGAATACACGTAATACTGGGTAAGAAGCCCAGCATCAGATTTCCCCGAGGCCTCACCTTCAGAACAGCTCCCACAGCTAAGTGGGGAAATCCGCGCCAACAGCCCAACGCAAAAACTTCGACCCCAAAAAAAAAAAAAAAAAAAAAAAGGAGGAAGCACGAGCAGTAGTAGTGCTGCAACTTGGTTGCCAACTGCTACGCCAAAAAAATATTATTCTAAAAACGCAGAATCACGACTCCTCCGCCCCCACCAGCAGCCAGTCATTCCCCCGACTGGAGGAGTCTTCTTCTGTATATGGAGCTACTACAAGAAGAAGAAGACGAAGACGAGGAAGAAGCCCAAGAACATCGTTAACGAGAAGCCACCCCCCTTCCTCCTCCTCCTCCTCCTCCTCCTCCTTCAATCGCTAAATCTCACAATCAATTTTCCTCCTTTACGTACCACATCTATACATATACAGAAGACTCTATTGTAATACCATACACTGCATTCATACATACACACGTAAGAAGACGAGGGGAGGAGGGTAGCGAATTATGAAGATGGCGAAGGGGCAATCCCTGTTTAGGAGGAGGAAGAAGGCTTCGCTGCCTCCCCACCCACCGGAGATTGAAGCTACCACTAGCTCTGCCCTGGTGCCGGTCGTGCCCAATAATAATAATAATAATTTTGCTTCTTCTTCTTCTACGGCGATTGTGGCAGCCGCCGGGAATAATAATAAGGCTTCTGTCGGGAAGAAGAAGGCGGGTGGGGCGGCGAGGCTGTGGATGAGGTTTGATCGGACGGGGCAGTCGGAGTTGATTGAGTGCGATAAAAGCGTCATTATTAAGCGCGTCTCTATACCTGCTCGTGATCTCCGAATTCTCGGCCCTGTCTTCTCTCATTCCTCCAGTATTCTTGGTAAATTTGTTTTATTCATTAGTTAATACTAGCAACGATCTTCATCTTATCCTCTGAACCCTCAAGTCGTTTCTAATCCATGGCGTTATCGTTGTTCTCCTTTTAAAGTCTACGTGCTTGTACTTTGATGGGAATAATGCATTGGTGATAAACAATTGCTCTGGTCTATTGCAATAACCTTTGACCTATAATAATCCTCACCTCACCTTCATTGCCTGATATAGGCTACAATGATATATGTGGTCGTTGCTTTGTGAATTATCTAGAATTTTGCGTCTTCATTTGCTGTGGTACCAAGATGATTCGCACTGATTTTCGGCCTTGAATCTGAGAGTTCAATAGCGGTACATTCTTCTCCTATTAGATGGGAGGGAAATTGTAGCACCTCTGCTATTACGAAAGAGATTAGTATTTTCAGCCTTGTACTCTAAACTTTTTTTATAGATTAACTCTGGAGACCCTCATCCTAACCCTAACAGTCATTACACGGTTTCTCGTGACTGACAATTGAGCAGTTCAAGCATAGACTACTAGGCATCTGAATTTTTCATCAGTCAGGCCGTTATATGCCATTGCTAGATTGTACAGGTTGATATTGGGCCTGTCTTTTCTTTTTCTTTGTTTGAATATAAATTCCACTAGGATCAAACCGAAAGTTGCTTGTGCATCTGGGAGTTGAATTAGCCTTCCCTTTTTGGAATTCAACGAACAAATCTCTTAACTGCAGTGAATGCAACTCTTGAGCCCTTTTTGGGAGCAAGTATAGATTGTATTTCCAGTTTGGAAAGAAGGGGGGGGGGCATAAAAATTTTTATTGAAGAGATTTAGTTATCCTTTTAGATAACATGGCCTAACTTTGTAGAGTTTTTGGCTTTCTGCTCATTTTACCCATATAAGCAATCATTTTTATGTTGTGAGATGATGCTGTTACGAGCTACCAAGATAGATGCTTGGAGATAAAATTGGTTCTCATATATTCTAAACATCTTACTATTCTTGCTTTGAGATCAGGTGATAGGATTGGGTTGCTATTATTGGCGATTGAGCAAGATGAGAAGTTCCTTTTTCTATTCTCTTGGTATGGTTTTAGACTGCTGACCCGGAGGCTTCCTAAATTTGTTGGGATGCTTATCATGATAAATGTGGTTACTTAGTGGACGAGGAAGACTGAATTCAATTAAAATTTTCTAGTGGGTGCCCATGAGTGTGACCGTGGTTTTTCGTGTGGCCACTGTTGTTTTAATACTGTAGTTTGTCCCTTTTGGGGGTGTGGAAGTG